TTTTATTTTTTATTTTTTAAAAATATTATAGATAAATATAATTATTATTTATAAATCTTTCATTTAAAAAAAATGAAAAAAGGACAGTTTGGAACAGAATGGTTTTGATAATTCTAAGCATTTAAGTCTGTTTTTTTTTTCTTTTCTTTTCTGTAAAAACAATAGTCTATTAATTAGCATTTATGTCTGTTTGGATTTGACTTTTTTTTTTTTTTTGAAAAGGTAATAATTAAAGGAGTTAGTGTGTTAGAAGGATTAGTGTGTAAAGAGGATATTAAACCCGGAACATGAGATACAAATTACATGTTGTCCCAAAAGGCAGCAGATTGACATTGGGCCACGCACGTTAGAATGCAAGTTGACCTTTTTGTTACAATTTACATTGTAGAAGACTTGTTAATTTTGTTTTGTTTTATTATAGTATTTTTTTTTTGACAAAGATAATGATTAGAAAATTAGTGAATTAATTGTTAGCAGTTGGTTTTCAAACCGAGTGAACATTGCACCTACTTAAATAAGGCGCGCGACTATCAAACCGTAATTTGGTGAAATTCACAACTATAATGGAGCTCGAAACTTCGACCACCATCTCACTTAAATACTAAGGTTTGGGGCGGACCATTGGATCAAGAAACCCAATTTATTATAGTATCGAACTCATATTACACTACAAAACTCCAGTCATAGAATAAAGGAATCCTTCTTTTAAGAGAGAGTTCTCCTTAATTCTATAATTAGTATTTTGCCGCTCATATTGCAAACTTATTTTTTACAGTTAAAGGGCTAGTGAATCCAAGCATTCCCTCTGCCCGCTTCCCAAAATTACCGTATAGTCTTAGAAAAAAAATTATTATTATTTTTAAAATAAAAATTCACTTTCATATAAATTTTATATATTTTAATATTAATATAAAGTTTTCATTTTTTATTTTTTATTTTTAATACTTAAAATTTATCACAAATTTTTAAATAAAAAATAATTATCTATAATAAATATAATAATAAATAAATAACTATCAATTATTAAAAATAAAAAAATTAAAAATTAAAATTTTATATGAATATAAAATACAAAATTTATATATGTAAATAAACCCCTAACCTGCCCAGTAAGCATGACTAGATGGTTATTTTTGCAATGATTAAGTAGCCAAAACAAACTATGACCAGCAAGCTCCACGCTTGTACCCTGCTTAAAAACGGTATGCTTTCACATGGATCTCATTTCAACCTCACTTGAAATAAGCAACGTACGCATACCAAAATTCTGCAAAAATCAGTATAACTCCTCCCTCAAAACCCCTATATAAACCCTCCACCCCACACAGTCATGAACAAGGCCTACACACAGAGAGATGGCCACCACCAACACCCAATTCACAACCACCTTAGCCGCTTTCCTTATCATCGCAGCAATCACGGTTTCCCATGACGGGTTGGTGTCGGGCCAGGGATGCCAAGCTGACTTGCAGAATCTCGTAGCGCAATGTGCAATGTATGTTCAAAGGGCCGGCCCCAAATTGAACCCATCCCCCTCATGCTGCAGCGTTGTTGTTCATGTTGATATTCCCTGCATCTGCAACTACATCACCAGTGGCATTGAGCGGGTGATTGACATGGAAAAGGTGACTTATGTTGCTGGATACTGTGGCAAGGCCCTCGCCCCCGGGACCAAATGTGGAAGTAAGAATCCATTAATGAAAATGAAAATGTAACTTTAATTAACTTATTCTAATGTTATGGATGAAATAATTAGTTTATAACTGATGTTATTTTTCTTTTGATTTTAAAGGTTATACGGTTCCTGGAAGTGCTGAAGGTGAAGATGAGGAAAACGAATTCCCTATTCCCAGTGTGGGAAGTGATGAAGTCCCTGTTCTCAGTGTGGAGGAAGAAGAAGCTCCTAGTCCTAGTCCTAGTCCTAGCGTGGCCGCGGACGATGGTGAACCGCCAGAGGTTATGCCTTGGATGCCTTGGATGCCATGGATTATACGTGGCCCTAGGAATTAATCTCCGAGCATCAAGAAAAAGATGCTTGTGGAAACCAAAAAAGAAAAAGAAAAAGATGCTTGTGATGAAATAAACAACGTCTGCTTTAGTCATGTCATGTGTGGAGAAAAAGAATCTGTAATGACTGTGAACAACGTCAGTAAAATTATCAAATAATAATTTTCATATAAAAATCTACTATAATTTGGCATCCTTCTTGAAATTGCAATATATATATATATAGAGGATTAATATTTACCTATTTTATCTTTTAAAAAATAAAAAATAAAAAATATATTTTAAAATTATATTATTTTAATAAAATATAATAAAAAAATTTTAAAAAAATAGTTTAATTCATATTTAAAAAATAAAGTGTTTTAGCATTTTTTTAATAAAAAATTATTAAAATAACATAATTTTTAAATAATTTTTCTTATAATTTTTAAGATATAAAGCTTATGAGCATTTTTTCTTTTATATATATACCTATAGTAATTTAATTTTATTTGAAAAAGCATAATACATAGGTCAATTTTTTGTATTAAAAAAAAAATATGGCAAATTTTGTAATGTAGGACTGGTTTTTTAATTTTAAAACAAATTGGATTGCTAGGAAAAAGCCGATTGGGAATAGAAACAAAATTTATGTCCTCCATTTCACAATTCGCCATAATTGGTGTCCTTTAGTTAACGGTTTTGGGGCATCTTTGAGATTTGGGCTCATCACCAACGGCCTTTGAGAAAAAGAGATTTGATCTCGGCCCATCTTCAGACACCTTCTAGAAGAAAACAGTCTTTTATCTACAACGAAAAGAATAATTAAATAAAAAAAAAAAAGAGAAAAAATCTCACAGCGGCTTCTCTCCAGCCGTCCGATCATTCTTTTTAGCACAAAATCATCATTTCTTATCCACGTGTTCCCGAACCTTAGGTTCGGTACCCAAAGCAAACAGCTTCGGCTCCCTCCTAATTTTCTCTTTGCTTTTTATGCCCTGAATCTCCCTCTGTAGTATAGACTCTAGACGGTAGAGTTGCTGCGTCAACGGCGGAGGTAAAACTTCAGTCTTTTCTGATCGGTGGTTTTTAATTTTTTCTGGATTTTCGGGTGATTTTAGGGCTTTATTTTGATGCCAATTTCAGATTTTTCTTTGGAGTATATGATTGATTGAGGAAATATAATGGCGAGCGAGGGTGGAGTAAAATCAACATTGAATCCGAACGCGCCGCTGTTCATTCCGGCGGCTTTTCGTCAAGTAGAGGATTTTTCGCCGGAATGGTGGGAGCTGGTGAAGACTTCGGCTTGGTTCCGTGATTACTGGTTAAACGAACATCCGGAGGAGAGTTTCGTTGCTGATGAAGACGAGGAAGACGGTGGAGATATTGTCGACTTGATATCGGAGACGTTTGAGCTCGGATTAAACGAAGATCCGTTTGAGGAATTGGTTCCTGATTTTGGTGATCCGGAGAAAGGAGAATCGGGATCCGTCGATGGTTCTGAGAAGGAAAAGAATCGCCCAAACGGTACGCTTGATTTCTAAATTGCTTTGTGTTTGTTTAGAAAATTAGGTGGAATCAGATCGAATTGTGATCCAAAACAGAGAAAAATACTCAATTTTGATTCAAATTGGATGAAAGTAGTTAGATTGCAGTTTTCTTGAATCTTGGTTTTGGAATCAGGAATTCAGATTGATGCAAAGGCTGTATTGAGGAGTCTGAAAGTGGCAGAGTCTCCCAGTGAAAGGAGTCCGAAGTCACCGGCAGGATCACCGAAGTACGCGGAGAAGCCAGCCAAGTACGTGAGCCCTAAATGCAGTCCTCGAGTCATCCACCAACCTCGTTGAAGGAGCTGAGACTAGAGGGGTTCTCTTACCAACTCACCGAGTCACTGACATGGGTAGTTAAATTTCTGTGTCACCCCTGTACATGAAAAATTGCAACTTTTTCATGCTTACCTAAAATGGTCCTTACGTTTTACTCTGTTAATCTGTTTACTGTTATGTGAGTCTTTGTGGAATCTGGTTGTTAGAAATCGAAAGTTGTGTCTTTGATTTAGAATTGTACATTTGTGTTAGAACTTAATGGATGGAGTCAATGTTAGTATTCCTGGTGGAATCAAAACTACCATTTTGTTTTGTTTTAGATGTAATAATATTTCCAGTGTTCAAGAGAACCCTCATGGTTTCAGTTTTCATAGATACATTGCAATCCATTGCCGTTCAATATCGGGTGTGTAACTTAAATTATTAGATAGATTGCGGGTTTTCTAATATTGAAGCCCGTTCTAATGTAGAGACTCTAGGTTTTAAAATAAGAAATTATCTTCAAAGCCCAAAGCCTCTATTTGCACCCTTCAATTATTTCTTTTTCGTGCAACACTTTCCAGATATTTTTCCTTTGTCAATGCTCTCCATTTTTTAAAATATATGAAAATTTTAATATTTTAATGAGTTATCTTGTCATTTTAATAACCATTAAAAAGTGTAATACGTGACATCCAAATAATGATGTGGGTGTTATGTGGCGTTATTTATCTAATGTGGATGATTTGTTGAAGATGTGGCATGATGACATGGCATAATTTTACATGAAAACCTCCTAACCAAAAAAAAAGAAGAACCAGAGCAAGGTGGAACCTAGAGTAAAGGAACCTAACTCTGGTTCTCAAGGAACCCAAACTGGGTTCTTCACGACGAGGAACCTAATCTGGGTTCCATGACAAACCCAAACTGCGGTCCATTATGAGGAATCCAAAGTTGGGTTCCTCGTCATAGTGGAACCCAATTTGTACCTTTTTTATGCCTTTCTTGCACCTTTTTTTTTTCTGTGATTCTTTTTGATTTTGATATAATAATAAGATGATGATTTGATTCTTTGATGGGTTCTCAACTTTTCTTGCAAGTGAATCAAAAGATTGTTCCTTTTTTTCCAATCTGAATCAACCTCCATTAGAACCATGGATGAAATCTTTTTCGATCTTCCATGGAGGCTGGGTTCCTCGTCAAAACTAGGTTCCTCACGAACCTAGCTTTGGGTTCCTCCTAAAACCCAATTTTGGGTTTGTGGAACCCTAGAACCTGGGTTCCCTGCAGAACCCAAGAGGATGATGAAGAGGACGATGCAGAGGGTGAAGATGATGTCGAGGATGAGGAGAAAAAAGAAGGTGAAAAAATTAAAGTTAATTATGTTTTAATTCATTTAATTTTCTGTTTTAGTTTTTTTTTTTTTTTTTGTTGGGAGGTATTCATATGAAATCATGCCATGTCATAAAAAATCACTCACATTGGATAAATAATGCCACATAACACCCACGTCATTTTTTGAATGTCACTTATTGTATTTTTTAAAGATTATTAATGGTGACGTAACTGCCAGTTAAAATATTAGATTTTTCATGGATTTGGAAAAATAAAAGGTGTTAATTGAGAGGAAAATATTTGAAAAATGTTGACTACGAAAAAAAATTAATTGGAGGATGCAAATAGGAGTTTTGGCCATCTTAAAAACCAATGAAATTCTAAGATTTTAATGAGCTTGGTTTCCTAAGAGAAACAAATCCAAATTTTCACATTTTTAGTGGGTGGAACGCTGCTGAAGTTAGTATTCAGCGATTGCGGACTTCCGAACCCTTGGCCTGATTTGAGAAATTAAGATTTTGAAGAAACCAAATTCAGAGCTAAATTTGCCGATAATTTAACAGAGCAAATAAACTCAGGCATGAAAAGTGAAATTGAACCAAAAATGTCATCAACCCCCACCTTTTTCTCCTCTTTTTGCTTATTTGATCTGTAAGGAACATGAAAGCATGATGAAGGACATCCTATTAACCCTGACACATGTTACGCCATAATTGTTAAACAGACACGAAACCCTGACAGCTCAATGCTCCATTAAAATAATCTCCGTCAGAAAGCACCAGTTGTCCCTTATGTAACCTACTTTTCATGAGCAAATTTTATATTTTTCAAAGTAGCCGTTACACCTCTCCCTATTCCTACTTATGCACTCAATCTCTCTCTTAACAGGACATCCGTGGCGCCCTCCTCCTTCAGCCCCTACGCTCCTCTTTCACTCTCTATATCTATAACCTGTTCCCATTTAGAATCCAATAATAGTTCTTCCCATGGATCTTTCCCTGACCCCCCTTTTGTCTTCTTCAACATCGAGAAGTACCAGTAGTGATAGCAGTAAAGCTGATGATAGCCCGCCAGTATCTGGTCGTTTTGAGCTGCAGGGTGTTAGTAAGTTTCAATTTCCCTGCAAATCCTTATCTGGGTTTCAATCATACCGGTCCCTGGCCGTGCTTTCTGGCCATATGGGATCGGTTTCCTGCTTGGCCTTGTGTGGGGAGTTCATTCTGAGTGCATCACAAGGGAAGGATATAATAGTGTGGCAGCAGCCTGATTTGAGGATGTTTACCAAGTTTGGACACGGTGATGGCTCAGTGAAAGCCCTGGTGACTGTGGGAAACAAGGTTTTTACCGCACATCAAGATAGCAGGATCAGAGTATGGAAGGTGTCAAGAAGCTCAGAGAATATGTTTAGGCTTGTCAACACACTTCCTACTACTAAGGACTACTTGGGGAAGTTCATGAAACAGAGCAATTATGTGCACACCAGAAGGCATCATAAGAGGTTATGGATCGAGCACGCCGATAGTATTTCCTGTTTGACATTCTACAATGGGTTGATCTATTCAGGTTCATGGGATAAGACCCTTAAAGTGTGGAGGATATCGGATTTGAAGTGTTTGGAATCAATAAAAGCTCATGATGATGCTGTCAATGGCGTGGTGGCATGCAGGGGAGTAGTCTATTCGGCATCCGCGGATGGGAAGATTAAGGCCTGGGGAAAAGAAGGGAAGACAAATCATTCATTGAAGGGGATTTTGGAGGGGCATAAGGATGTATCATTGAATTCAGTGATTATATCTGAGGATGGGAGGTGGGTCTATGGAGGGGGTTCAGATGGATTTGTAATGGGGTGGGAGGGAAATGCTGATTTTGTGAGCTGGAAATTGGTATCTGAGACAAAAGCACACCAAATGGCTGTTCTGTGTATGTGCCTGACTGGGCAGTTTCTCTGTAGTGGCTCAGCCGATAAGACAATTGGCATATGGAGAAGAGAGGCTTATGGAATACTCAACAAGATCGGAGTCATAGGGGGCCATGAAGGGCCAGTCAAGTGCTTACAGGCATCACCTAACAATGTTGGTGGGGGTTTCTTGCTCTATAGTGGTGGCCTGGATAAAAGCCTAAGGGTTTGGTGGGTGCCCAAAAACTCTGGAAAATCAGAAGACATCAGAACACAAAATATAAACAGAAGTCTATGGACTTAGGAAGATTTTCAATTTTTCAGGATTTGTGTTACTAAATATAAGTTAGTAATGAAGCACTGCTTCTCTTTTTTGAATTTCTTGCAGAGCTTCATTTGAGTAAACATACTATAGAATAATGGCATGATCTGGTTTTCATTTCTTCTTCTTTTTCATTTTCCCACTGTTTCCCGGATTGATACTGATACAGTTGTTACAATTCTTGTTAATATTTTGTTCCACAATTAAATGCTTACATTGATGCTTTCTATTGTTTACTGAGGAATTAAATGTCTCGTTGGAACACATTCAGTGTTTTTGTCAAGCAAGGACAAACAACATTACAGAAATAGACAATATGTCTTCTCAGCTTCCTTTTCCTGTTCTGTCTTCTGCAGGTTCTGCATTCTTTATTATGTTTTAGCCATCCAAATCAATGAACCAAACAATGTTTTCTGGGTAGCTTGCATGCTTATGTTTCGGCTCCTGTCATGTGGGTAACTTGACCATAAAACTGAAAAGATAACTACCGACCCTGGAGGATTAACGAATCCATCTCTTTTTTATTTTTTTGGTTGTAAAAACAGGGGATCTTTCTTCATTACATAGATTTTGTGAGATTAGTGAAGGGTTCTTCACCTAGGAATAATTGAGATAAAAAAAGTAGGACATGTCCTAACTCTTGAACGCACTGGTGAAAGAACGAGCAAGCACATGCACCAGCAGCCAGAAATAGAACTTTAAACCTTTAGAAAGCAACCACTCAGCTTGTTGAACCATAAAGCAGTGACCCAAGAATTGCTCTGATTGACAGGAAAAATTTTGGAACTCAATCAATAGATTTCTTGGAAAAAAGTTGTGACAGTAAGCATTAATATCCCTTTCATTGGATAGGAATAGCAGAGGACTTCCATACATTTTCATCATTATCACAAAGAAACTATAAATAAGTTGCACTGTCATTTTTGAGCTTAGCGACGGTGTTTGTTGGGTGAGAATTGGAGAGTTTGCCCAATCATTCTTGCTCGAAGCACGCGCATTATTTGGAAGGATTAAGTAAATTGTTATCCGATCAAGGGTACAAGTGAAGTGGTGTTTTAGACTTGCTTGTAGAAGAGGACATATGCCTGGTCGTGCAAGACCTTGTTTGTTCCAATGGCAGTGACAGAGGCATCATCAAAATGAAGCCATTGGCCATTATGACACCTTGCGTCGGCAGTATAATGCCCCTTGGATGGCTCCCACCCATGGTGGGTTATTGTTGCAACAAGTTCGTACTTACGGCCCTGTAAGAAAATAATCAAAAAAAAGAAAAGAAAAGAAAAGATTTTTGTAATGGTTCATCAAAAACGATAGGTAATATCAATAACATTGGGAAATGCAAATTAATTCCAACTGGTTTTGGCAAATTAAATGGACTAAGCACAATAACAAAATTTTGAGCTCTACCCTATGACTAATCATCAACAATGCCTCAATGGTGAAGTATTACCTCGGTGGTGGTAGACACAAGCAGTTCACGTCCCAACAACAATTCAAGAGGAAAGTGAACAGGCTTATGCAACTTGGTGCTCCCTTGGCTGCCATAACTAAATCGCATGAGGTGCAATATCATTATTTTGGAAAGCGCCTGTATCTTAATGGATTTTTTGGCAGTCACCAGCCCAGACTGCAGGGCATAAAACGGAGGAAACATCCAATTATTCACAAACATATAAGCCTATGTCATAGGTACAAGAAAGATATCGATTTTCACGGTCAAAGGGGAAAAAAGGAAACTTTCAGCTGCACTTGTCAAAAGTCTAAGCAACATTCAGTTCCATATCCCAGAAATAATGATATGGTGCAACCAAAAAACAGTATAAAACTACTAAAATAGTCAATAATTGAATAAAAACAACAAATTAGATGGGATACCTTCCCAGCTGTTGGACGATACCCTTCGAGATATTCTGCAGCAGAGAACAAATGAAGTGCATCCTCAATAGTATGAACTGCTTCTGGATGGACATCAAGGTGAAGGAGGAGAAATGGTTGGACAGTAGCAGAAGCTTTATTTCCTACTCCAGATGAAATATAATAAAAACAGGACTCCAAGGTTAATGATACTTCAGGATAAGCTAGAATACACACTCCCCCCCTCCCAACCAAAAAATAAAAATAAAATAAAATAAAGACCAACTTAAAGACACAAGGAAAACAATGTTTATTCCTAGTGGTGAGTATTTTTACCTTTTGCCTTCACCACACTTTTCAACTGGCCCCCAAAAATATTACTAAGCTCTGAAGGAAGAAAACTTTGTGTTCTTGTCACAGCTGATTTGTTCTTTGGACCGACAGTCTCCCATTCACCATCTTCTACAGAAGAAACTAGAGATGAATTTTCCCTGTTACCAGCAATTTGTCCTTCAAGCTTGAGTAACTCATCATGCATTTGATGCAAGACAAAACTTAAGAACTCCTGAGCATCTTCCTGCCTGGAAATGATAAAAGCAAAATAATCAAAATGCAATTACCACCTACAAACACTAAATAGCCTCTAGTTGTTAAGCAGAATGACAGCAAACCACTTGTTTCCATCCACTTTTCCATCTGGACTGTCTTACTCATTTTTCTATCCCACAGTTCAGAAAAAATTTCATCCAACCAAAAACACAAAAAGATTGAGAAAATGTGGCAACTTGGCAAAAGGCGGCAAAAAGCAGCAAAAGGCTAAAAACTTTATTGAAATCAATATGTGGATGTTGGAATCTGATTTGATATGTAAAAATTGATGCCAGGACTACAAATGCCTTAAACATTTTTAAAGGAGAAGAAATCACATACTATGTATACAATATATGAAGGATGTGGAGATATGAAGATAGTAACTAAACCTGTAAATTACAAGTTCCTTAAATGAAGCACTGAAAGGGGTCCACAAGTAATACATCTGAAACTGTAGTCATGAAATACAAAGAAAGTGCCATGCTTCCACCAGCAAAAGTTTGGTTGTTTCAGGCAATAGATTTGCAAATTTAAATCAGATATTAAACATCAAGGGGGGGGGGGGGTAATTAGTATGAAAACTGCACAAACCTTGGCCTGCCAGATATGCAATTTGGCACATCTGGAGTAAAACCTTTAAGGACAGCTTCAAACATGATAGGACAGAGAGGCCTAGCAATCTCCAGAACAGTCACATCTTTCTTCTTTAAGTTAGAATCACTATGTGAGTCAAATTCAGAGATAAACTCCACAAACGCATTCAGTGTTGGATAGCCAACCTAATAAATCAAAGTAATAGAGAGCTTATCTTAGAAAATAATGTTGACCAATATATATTACCAGTCCCATACAAAAATAATAACACATATTTAACAAGCAAGACATACATTCCTAGATATTTGAATTGAGTTTTAATTTATTTTCTATAGATTAAAGTTAAAAAAAAAAACACCAACAGCAACAACAATCACAGTTTTCGCCAAAACCAAACATCTGCATATATTTTAAATGACGCATAAATGCGCGGGAGACAAACATGGGGCAAAATTCATACCTTAGGGATGCTACGAAGTCTAATTTGCTGCAACAGCTGGACAAAAGGGGAGCAGGCTAGGAGAGCCTGCAGAGTTGCACTGAGAAAGCATACATTCCCAGAGTTGATTATTCCTCGAGGTAACAAGTTGCTAACAATTGGAACGGGCTCACTAGTTGTCTTTGTATCATCTCCTCTGACCATGCAGGCTAATGAAACATCAGCTATGCCATTTTGCTTG